GTATGAACCATGCTTAAATGCATTTTCTGTTTTAATGCTACGAACAGCAGCCAAATTTTTATTATATCGTATTTAAACTATACATTTAAGATTTTTGGGTTCGCCTTCTTCACTTTATTACGTCAAAATTTTAGTATTCTGAATTATAAATATTTGTAAATTTTCCCAGTTGCTGATAAATTAAAAAAATCGTATTTTTGTATAATTGTGAATTATTTTTCTTTATTTTAATCGAAACACTTATTGTGAATTATTTCATTTCTATTGGATGTTTGAATTTAATTTATACACTTGCAGGAGTGCTTGAAAACAGAATTTAGTTGCATTACAGAGTTTAGTTCTCTAAAATCAGCAAAATTATTTTTTCTGTTTTATTGCATTAATCGTGCACTTAAACGGGACTCTTATCTATATATGCGTTTCGCCAGTGTAAATTACTTTAAAATTTTTAAAAAACGAGGCGAAGCGATTTATTCGGGGATGACTGTAACATGTATGTAAGTATAACATAATTTCCGTGGGTTTTTTTTCTCCACATAGTTTTTTTTTTAAATAATTTTCGCAACTTCTTTTGTGGTTTTCCATAAATAGAAATATATTTATGTATGTGCATATTGTATAGGTTAAGAATATGTAAAAATCTCAGTCTTGCTCCAGCTCACTTCCCCCTTTATATGTAAATTAAGATACGCTTAACGTATAAGTATGTATATGTAAATAAATACGACTATATAGAATATTGGAAAACAAAAAAATAAAACTCGGTTCGATTGAGAATTTCAAAATCTGTATGCGTTTAAAAAGTGTGACAAATCAGAAAAAAAAGCAATTCAAATATTTAAAAATAAAATTTACAATTACAATTTATTTTATTATTTCCGTATAAATTCAAACACAAGGAAAATTTTCAATTTTAGCAATTTAAACAATTAGTAAATACAATAGGTATACGTACATATGAGAATGAAATCTAAAATCAGAAAGATTTTCAATTTGTGGAATAAAAAATCTTAAGTATTTTTAAGATTTTATTTATGATTTTACAATTTCTTAAGAAATAAGTAAAATGTAAGATTGTTTACTATACATAATCGGTTTTAATATAAAACGTAGACGATATTTATTGATCTTTTATACCCCCATACAATTATAATATGGTTGTTTTAATAATTTCAAAAGAAAAAAATCAATTTAATTGCAATTATAAATTATTTGAACTTTTTGCTATTTTAATACATAACCTCAAAATTGCTTTAAAATTATAAAATATGCTCGAATATCGTGCTATTGCATAGATCCTATCTATATACTTCTGTATAAATGGCTATAAATTACTGTACATACTGTATGTATTCTATAGCATAATTTAATTCTATATGTAAATGCTCTTTTTATTCATTTAATCAAAAAATATTCAAAGTTTAATCAATAATCTTTATTTTTTTATTTTGAAAATTTTATGTACGTAAATGAAACATAAATTGTAATATATATACATAGGTATGTAACATAAAATTTTATTTTTAATGTTTGATCTAGATATTAAATTCCAATACACTTGGTAATACTACAGGAAATTAGTGTAATATTGGTAATATTAAAGGATAATCCAGTTGGTAACACTATAGTGATGTCTCATTATGGATTTCAGCATAATATTTTGTTAAGAATGTAATTAATATTTGAAGTTACAAATCAATTGAAATTGTGAAAATTACGGAAATTTATCGAAAATATCAGATAATTTACGAAAAATCTTTGAAATTCTCATTTTTATTTACATACATATTATGGTAAATAAATTTTGTAAATGTCATTTGAATTAACTACAATATTTCCATTCACAATAGGATTTTAAAAATTTAAGCCGCACAGAACATATTTAAAAAAGTGAGTTAACAAAATAATCATTTTAAAATTTGTTTTGATTTTAAAAGAAGACAGTTGGAAGAGTATAGAAGTAGAAGAATAAAATGAGAAATAGGGGGGAACTTGTTTCAAATACTTGCGTTTGAAAGTAGTTGCTTTAAGGATTGTATCAAATTATATAGATATTATGTGATTTACTTAAGTATTATGGGAGACTTATAAGAAGTAAAAAACAAATTCGTCGACTTTTTCAAAGTACAACCTCTACACCTTCATTGTTTTATGCAAATTCCAGTTTTATTTTGCTTTTAAATTGCACTTAAAAATTTATTATTTTTTATTTACTTTGCAATTATTTTTTCCTTTACATTTAAATTAAAATAATTTCAATATCTTTTTTTTCATTTTTTTCTTGCATAATTTTTCTAAAAGTTTTCAATAAAATTTATGAAAAATTTTACAAAATTTTGAAAATTTCTGTCAAAAATAAAACCTACATACATAAATGTTGCCATAATGTAATTAAAAATTTCTCATACAATTTTTTTTTTCATGAAAATTTATAAGTAGGAATATTGTTATGTAATACGGCCGTATTACTATCATATGCAAGTTATTTTTTTTTAAGGTTAACTTATATTATGTATATATATATATACATATTTATATTATATACGGTATATAATATTGTAAAATAATAACCAAAAATGTGGTTAAATCTAAATAATTATAGCTATTGTATATTAACTAAAAATATTTAATTTCATTGAGAGAACAATATAATATGGTGCCGATTCACCGCTACAACCATTTTAAGACATAAAAGTTGTATTTAAAAAAAAAATTTTCATTTAAACAATATAATATGTTTGAGCTACATACGTATAGATGTATTACAATAGTTTATAACAGTTAGTAATAATAATATGACTAACAATTTTATGATATTACTTTAAAGTTATAATATCACCATAGTTACTTGCAATAATATTATATGTTATTGTTTTAAACTTCAAGCCCTATATACAATCAAATCTTACTTATGTATATATATTATATTTTGTATATTAAAATATATATGTACTTAATTTATTGTAGATTGGAAACCTACAGTAATTATTATAATATTAATTAATATTCATACACAAAAATTTCATTTAATATACCAGTAACTATGTATAATAAATTTATGACCATTTTATGATTTTATTTTCACTTTTTTTTTTAAGAGTTTCAGTAGAATGAAAATTGCCGAATCATAAAAAAAATTAAGTTAAATGAATTAAAACGGAAATATGAACGAAAAATAATTATTATTACATATTTTAGATAAGAAATACAAGTAAGTGTTATACTGTATGTAGTGTAATAAAAAAAAATTAAGTTAAATAAAGAGCACTTACATAATGCAATTATTTAAATATTGCATTATGTAAGTGCTCTTTAATAATTATACTAAAATTTTTACCTTACTGAACTATATATATGTGACTCACAATGTGTTATACTAAATTTCGTTATGTGTTATACTAAAATAAAATAAATTTTTTTATTGGCAAATTTTATATATATAATATGTATATATATAAAGGGCTATAAGGGGCCAGATACGAAAAAAATTACTACTTCAATAAGAACACAAATTCAATATCGTCATTTATAATCTCTAACAGTCTAACAATTTCTTCTTTTTTTACACAAATTCCCACAATTACTATAAAAAACGAACTTGATAATCTTGTATATGTAAGTTATACATTAAAATAAATTATTTATGTTAATAACATTATTGTTATACATAAATATTTCACCGGTTTTTCATAGTAAAAATACTTATAATAATAATTTAGAAATTCACCTTAAAATCTAATGAAACTACTTATAATATAAAATATAAACAAAATTTTATATAATAAATTTTCGCAAAAAATAAGCGAAAAGAAAAAAAAACGCGAAAAGTAATAATGATGTAAAAAGTGTGTGTGTATATTATGACATGCTCAAAATATCAAAAAAAAATTATATATATATATATATTTTCCTTACTTATTTCAAAATTTAATTCATTTACTTCTATTTTCCTTTTATTATTTATATATATACATATATGTAGGTATATGAAAAGGAAAAATCGATTTCAATTTTCTACACGTTATAATATTATAAATATATGTATCTGTATAATAGTATATATAGAATTGGTATATATTATGTATATGCTATATAAATTCAGTGGTGGACTACAATAAATAAATCCAGTAATTTTAATTTTCATTTAATATTGAATTTGAACGTCATACTTATGCCAGTATGAGTATTTATAAGTATACAGTTATGTATACTTATAACTGTATATGTATATGCTTATATATTTAAAGTAAAATAAAATTTTTTAATAAATTGATAGCTAGAGATTTTTATTATCAAATATATTATTCATGGATTCTTATTTGATTTGATTAAAATTTAACGTACCTAAATTTAATTATCTGAATGCCTGTGAATTTTATTCAAAAAAGAAAAAAAAAATATAGGGGAACGCTATACAATTCTTATATATCGCACAATATGTCCACAAAAACACAAAATGTTTAATATTTAACCACTGTGTAAAATTTGACAAGAAAATTTTTATAGAATTTCCTATCAATAAAATTTTTAAAATTAAGAATTATATACACAATATATATACATATGTAAATTTAAATAAATGACACAAATTATTAACTATTATACAGTATATATAAAAATTTTTAAAATTTCATTAATATATATCTAAATAAATTTTGTAATACAATATTTCGTACAGATCCATTTAAGAACCGGTTTGAATTTCATCACTGTATATACATATATACTATCTCTAATTTAGTCACTTTATACCGATTATATATCTATATATATATATATAAATGAAGTTATACATCATTTTACCTATATTGTAAATACCCTATATATATAACCGTATAACACAATATATAAATTGTTAATAATACAAAAAATTCATTTTGAAAATTTTAACATTAATAAAAGTAATTAATATAATATAATAAAAATAAATAAAATTTATTAAAATATTTTATATTTGCATACTATAATGACATTATTATTTGAAAAACTTTTATACAAACCTTTTTTTTTTAATTTTATGGAAATTTCTGTTCAAAATTTCTTTAATTTCCTCTTCCTATTTTTCTCTTTGGATAAATAGTCTTAATTTTAATATTAATCAATTTTTAATTCTGATTTTGTAGGACTAAATCTGATTTCGAAAATTATTTTTATAATTTTTAATTTTTAAACACCGTATAATAAAATGCTTAGCCAATATTTCAACAAAAAAAAAATGATTTCATAGGTAAATATATTGATATATTTTAATATAACACTTTTCTATTTTATATTATATAAAATTTAATTTATTTTATATATTTATTTGTAATAAATATAAGAAAAATATTAAAAATTATAAAGAATTAAAAAATTGCACACTTTTATTGGGAAATTTTCTATTTTTTACAAATAATTTAGTATAGGAAAAAATAAAACAATAAAATAAAATTACACAACAACGTTTCCAGGATATTTTCGGTAAAAGAAAATCCTTTTTAAGAAATAATACCGCTGTTTTTTGTTTTTTGTTTTTATTCTATTTTGTTTTTCTTTTTTGGCGTTTTAAATGCGCATGCACGCTATTAGTCTTCTGTGTTTTCTTCTGTTTTTTTTTTTTTGTGGATTTTCTTTTATATATTAAAAATGGATTACTTTCTTATATAGATTAAAAATTGTAATGAAAAAGAGAATTTTTATTTAATTCTTATATCGTAAATTAAAATAATTGCAAAAAAATTTTATAAATACAAAAAAATTACAATGATAATAAAATTTTAATTTTAAAATTATTAAACAATTATTAATATTTTACAATATTACAAATATATTTTTGAGAAAAAAATTGGAATTATAATTTTAAAGCGCGGAAAATTTCTTAAAATAATTCGGTTTTACTCTTTTTTTTTTTTTTCTTAATTTCTTATTTTCAACAAACAGTTTAAGTCAAAATTCAAATTACGACTGAAATATTTTTCTCTTAACTTTTTATTTAAGCTTTATCTGAATATTCTGAATGTCATATTATAAAATAGAGATTGAATAGAAATTATGCTATAGAAAATTTATGATAGTAACTGTTATGTAGGAATAGGAACAAGTAAAATGTTTATATAAGAAGAAATTCAGAAGAGCACACACATAACTATACACACATTAAAATTTGTTTTTTGTTTTTATTAGAGGAACAATTGAGATTTTATTTTGTTTCAATATTTTGTTATACATTAAGTACAATTTAAATGTTTGCTTGTATGAATCTACTTGTCATGTCAATTTATGAAAATGAATTACATATAAAAATTTTTTTTTCAATTGTTTCAACACCGTTAAAATATTATGTTTCAGTTTCTCTAATGTCAGCAATTACCAGTTTGTAATTCATTTTTATTAAATGAATTTTTGAATTTTAATTTTTCTTAATTCCAATAATAATATTATAGATAATTAATAAGAATTTTATAAAATTTAATGAATTGTAACAAACGCTGATTAATATTGTAATATAAAAAAAAGTTTGAAGCTAACTTTAGAAAAGTGATAGACAATTTCCAATTTATATAACTAATCCGTATCAAATTTAAATTGTGTAAAATATTAAAGTGGTGATATTTTTTAAATTAAAATTTCCAAAACTGTAAATTTTATTTTGGGTTAATTGTAATAGGAATAATAGAAAGTCAATACCTCGAGAGGCTAGCTAGAAATTTTCAAATGAAAAAATCAAAATTTGAAGGTAATTTAAAAATTTTGATGACAATTAAGAGTAATCATAAATTAAAATTTAATATTAATTATTGATTTGCAATAAATACCTACATACTTAGAATACACTATGAATTAGAGCATAAGAATTTTTTCATATTTGACTACTATTAAATCACATTTCACAATGCAAATATATTATAATAAAACTATGCTGTCAAAAAATGAACAAGAAAAATATAGGCTCATTGTTCAGAAAATATCTTGTTCTAAAGTTTAAATTAGCTCTATTACTATTCATTCACTCTACCATTCACTACCATTCAAATAATTTATATTTTCTAATCTTAGAATGGGCCACTTATTATATGAGTACTGAAAATTATTTATTTAGGTGTTTTTTTATAATTTTTTTTTTATAGAATATGAAAACTTAATAATTTTTATTTGTTTTTCAGTTATTAATTTTTAAAAATTTCGTTTATTATTGGATGGTCTTACCTCAAAGTACCTTTTATTCGAGAAAATGATTATTTATTTCAATACTCTCGAAGATGATAGTTATCCTTTTTAACAAAAATAACTACATATTAAAAAAATATATTTATTATAAATAATGTTTTAAGTTCTATTAAGATTCTTCTGATTATTTTAATGTAAATGCAAAATAGAAACAATTTTATTATTTTGTCTTAAAAATTTTTTTTTTATTTAATTTAATTTTCTACCTTATAAATATTTCAACAAAAATATTTCAAATAATTTTTTTACTCCTTCATTTGCTTTTAAATATTTAATTTGAATTTTTTTTTGGGTTTAATCTATAGTAAATAAGTTAATAAACAAACAAAAATTTACCAAATGGGAAACAAAAAAAAAACATTTTTCAGAAAATAATTACTAAAAGAATGAAACGAAAATGCTTTATAAATAAGTGATATCACATAATTCTAAATAAACAAAAACTTTTTTCTTTAAATAAAAATAGGAAAACGGTCACTAAAACTTTAAAGAATTTCATGATTTTTAAAAATTAATCTTAACTTGTTACACAGTACATATACTATAAAAAAAAATATATATTCTTTAAAAAAATTTTACATATTTTACAAAATAACATTTTAGTTTTTTTTTTTTTATCCATTTTAAGTTTTTTATTTTAACCAAATATCATCTAAAGTATTATCATTCATTTCATCTGTTGGCAAGGCCTTTAAAGTTTTTAATGTTTCCATATAAAATATTAATTCTGATGTTACAACACCATGTTGAGGTCCACCATTATTAACAATGTTATACTTGAGCAATTGTTCTCTTAATTTATCTTTAAAATTTTTATGTATAACACGATATATTGAATGTATTTGTTGTTCGGGCAATATGGTGGCTATTGCTTCATGTAATTTTACAAAATGTTTTGATATATTACGAAATGATTGTGATGGTACTGGTGGTCTTGCATCCCATGATTGTAATTGATTTATAACTAAATTCGAAACAATTGATAAAACTTTTTGTTCAATTTCTTTGATATGACTAACAAAATCTTTTTCTACAATATCATAGCCGCCAATTGATGTAGAATCAAGTTTTTGGAAATGTAATTTTACTTTTGGCAAAAGCCATAGTATTATTTGTAATGCTCGCGATACCAGCGCTAAATTACCACTTGTAATTGTTTTTAAACCTGCAACATGTAGGGCACCAGCACCCAAAACTAACTGACATGAACGTGAATTAAATGTTCGTAACAAATCAACAACATGTCTTGACATTTGCCCAGCTACTATTGGAATTTGTTCTGCACATTTACAATATTCCGTTATTAAATGTACTAAAAGAATAATTGATGAAACTAATGTATATGGTTTTCCATCAACTAATAAAACTGGACTTGATGGGCTTGATGACGAAGTATTTTTGCTACTTAAATTAGAGTCCTGAGATTCCTTTGCTTCCGTTGATAAATGTAACGATAAAATCTCTTTACTAGATTTTTGAAAGCCAGAAAAATCATTTTTGGATATCCTATCAATTATCTTTTGGAATTCATTTGGTATATCAACTTGCTTCCAGCGTTCTGAGTCCAATAACAATGCTAATTTGGATTTTCTTTCGGAATGAAAATTATTTGAAAAACGTGTAGCTTGCGCTTTAACAGCCGCCCTTAGAGGAACACTCTGGATACCTGATATCTTCTCACAACCTAGAATTTTAAAATATTTATTTTTAATTCAAGATTATATTTTACAAAAATTTATATGTACCCTGACTAAATTCCTCAACTATTTGAGATAATTTTTCGATTTCTTCTTGGGTGGCTACACTTTTTTCCAGACTTTGGCTTGATACCAAATTAGCACATCTTTCGTGACAATAATTACAAACGCTTCGTAACAAATCCTCTAATTTTTCTATAACAATCTTATAATCATTTTCTGAAAGAAAAACTTCAGAATCTATGAATTGTAAGGTTTCTCCACATTTTCCAGCACTTGCATCAGCCGTTTCTTTTATTACGGTATAAACCTTTTGTACTCTTTTTAATAATTTCAATAAAGTTATTGTAGCTTTATCAAGTAATTGAATCCAATCCGGAATTGATAAACTTTGTGCTTCTTCTCCAGCTCCAGTTAAACATACTTCAGCATCAGATGATGCAATAATTTCAATTACCATTTGTTTAATATTTGCTTTAATGGCTGTTATTGCTTCTTCTTTATAGCCATCAATAAAAGAATAATTATTCTCCCTTAATAAACCCATTATAATACAAACTAATTTATCCTCTTCAATAAGGCCTTCATCATCACTATTTAAATATGGTCGATTTAAATCAGCAGTTGAATATCTTTCAAATTCAGTTGATAACATTTTATCAATTAATTTTTCAATTTCTTTCAATTGCATTGGTAAATGTCGAAAACAGTGTATACCAATTAAAGCTTGAGCACAAATTTCTTGTGTAGTACTAATTAAGTCAAGAGCTGCCACATAGTCCTGTGTTCCTAGTAATAACTGTATCATAGGCTGAGTTTGTTGAACAGTCTGCATTAATTTTAATTTGTCTAAAACTGAAAAGTAATTCTGTCTAGAGCGTGATAATAATAAAATTTTTAAAGAATCTTTGACTAAAGTTGTGTCTATATATTGTAAACGTTTTCTTAAAAATTTAACATTAGATGTAGCAGCATTCATTTGCTCCATTATGGTATCCTGCGAGGTCATTGCATGAAAAAATGCAGATGATTTTTGCGAAACCTAAAAAGTAATTAATTAAAAATTGTTTTGGGGTTTTAGGTTTAATTTAAACGTTAATTACTTGTTTTGCAATATGAACTTCGACAATATCTAAATAATGACTAAGCTTTTCCTGCAATAGTCTTCCTGATTGTTTACTTTCCTCATTTGATTTACCTATACCGGGAAAAACTTGAGCAAAAGTTTCTGGATTATTTAATTCTAAACTGGCTTTCATAAATATTTGTGGTATATCATCTAAATTTCCAATATTACTAGTGGTAAAATTTTCTACTTCACCATTAATAATATCAATATCTGATTTTAAATACATTGTCCGACTACTCTGACTAGATGCATTTGAGTCTTTTCTAAATGCTTCAATTTTATCATTTTCAAATTTATTTTGTTGAACATTGTCAGTTGTGTATCTTAAATGCCTTCTAAAACGTCTTCCTATTCGTTTTTGATATGAATCAAAATCATCCCATGTTATTGGGTCTAAATATTGTGATGGTGGAATATGCGATTTTTCAACAAAAGAATCTCCCCATTTTTTTGTAAAAAGATTTGTTTGTTTCCCCTTACTGGGATCATTAAGTACAGCAGGAAGATTTTGTGCTGCTGAAAAAACAGACCATTCCGGTTCTCTTTGAATTAAATTAATATGATATTTGGCTACATGAGTTTCATAATCTTGATCACTAACACCATCCAAAACCGATGACTGGCAAACACCATTAAAACCATATCTGCATACATATGAACCACCTTCCTTAGTACAATGTCTTTCCCTTAAATGTCTATTATATAAATTAACAAAAATTATATATATATTAGACTAGTAAGCTTATCATTTAATCAAATGAAATTAGGTCAGATATACAAACTTTATAAATTCCGATCTTAATTTAAATGGTTGCTGCATAGGACAATAATAACACTTCTCCCATGGATTTTTGTTAACTTCTTTAGATGTTGTTGCCGTCATTGATATAAAATCATCATGATATGTGGCCATTACATCTCTCAAGGATTTTTTATTTTGTATTATTAAAAACCAAAAAAAAATTTTTTGCTTTCGTCAAATCAAATGTAAAATTCACAATTTTCGGATGTCAGACGATAATGACGTCTTATTTGTCAATTTAATTACGAAAATTTCAATTCGATTTTCGATATTGTAAACAATATTAGAGTTACCGCAAATGAAAAATTTTTTCAATTGCTTGAAATAAATGGAATTGAAATGAAAATAACAAAGTCAAATAGATATTTAGCTAAGGAATACAATTTTATAGTAAAAATTTTTAAATTTATCTTTTAAATAGTAATTTTCTTAATTATGTCAAATAAAGAATTAAAGTATTAATCACATTTTGTAAACATACGAAGCAAAACTTGTAAATTTCCCTTACTCAATGACGTTTTTGAGGTACAGGTTCCATAATTACTTCCCTCCATAATTAGTTAATACTCACTTTCTTCCTTAGAAAGTGAAGTAGTTATTTTAAAATTTTATAAAAATATAGATTTTAGTGCATGCAAAAATTAATTTAAACAAAGTTTATTTTTTTTATTCAATAAAACTTTTATTTGCCTACTTTTAATATAATAAAATTCGTTTTTCTTTAAGCTCTAACATGAAAATTACTTGAATTCATTTTGTTTTTTTTTTTGGGTACAACTAAGTTTTATGTTAATAGAATTTATACATATTTATTTTTAATTAAATTTTTAAATTTAATTGGTTTTTCTTGTGTAAATAATACTATATAAGAATATATAATTGTTATTTAGATTAAATATTTGTTATTAATACACAATAATAAAATAAATATCCGCTCACTTTTAATATTTAATTATAAAGGTGTAATACTTTTTATATTCATTTACAATTTAATATGCATATTGGAATATTAAATTTTTTTAAAAAAATTATTTTCTTTTTTCTTTTTATATTTTTCAATTATTTTTTATATTCAAGATCATCAGAATCAGGACTTCTCAATGCTAATATTTTTATACCAGGTTTTTCTTCTAAAGCACCACCAACATTAGCTATTGTTGGACCTTCACAACTAACATTATCTGTTGAAGAACATGTATGACAATGGCAACTTTTTGCTTCCAAATATTCATAACGATTTGTTTCTGGTTCAACATCGGGATGACAATGTCTATATTGTAAAATTTAATAACAGAATGGAAAAATTGATGATAATTAATGAAAAAAAAATTTGAATTAGGTATAAAATATATGAATTAATGAAAACATTTTTTAATTTCAGTTTAACATAATTAAACTATATAGGTGGGTTAGTTATATAACTGTTTTGAATTTGATAAAATCAAATTATAAGATGTTGTTGTCAATCATTCTTAAAATATTTTTATTTCCTACTTTAGTATATAAAATTAATTTACCTTAGTATAGCAAATGCTTTAGTTCTATGTGCATGTACGCATACTGGATGAAATGATTTTTTATAAGGAAATTTCCTGCAAATAACAATATTAATAAAAAAACAAAAATGTACTTCTCGACTAATTAACATATAATAATATTCACATACCAATCTGAAATTTCACTTGAATCACAACGTCCCCAACATGACATTACACTAACATAATCCCAACATTCTCTACCCTGTGAATCTGTTTGACTTACTCTAAGAAAAAAAAATATTAAAAAATTAAAATTTTTTATTATTTAAGATTTAAGATTTTAAGACTTTGATTTTAAGATTTTAGACCTTAACAATTTTTTAATATTCTTCATAATTATTTTACCTATACGTATATAAACGTGTATGACATCCAAGAGCTGATTTTGTTGGAGCGCTATCTATAATTGTTTGTTGTACTTCAATACTAAAAACTTTCGTCGTAATTAATAATAGTAAAATTGAAAAAAATGTTGTTCCACTAAAATAAAAAAAGAATTTAAAATAAATTTTTAAATAATTTTTAAATTAATTTTTGAAATTTTCATTTTTTTAAATAATTAATTTTTCATACATTTCACTGCAGGTCAGCATTTTATTTCAATTTTTAAATTCACTTTATTTGACTGTCCTTTGTTTAATTCTTATTTTGTTTTTTATAGAAATATTTAAAAAATAAAATGTTTAAAAATAAAAAAAATCTTGTTATATTGTTAATTAATTAAATTGTATAACAGTTTTTTTTTCTTGATTTTTTTTTTGTTAAAATTTAATTATCCTCGTTGCTTCAAAAGGAAGCAACAATAGGTTCGAATACTTTAATTCGTATGTTTATTTTGTAATCCTTGTACAAGAATTTATATTAAAAAAATTTTCTTAAATTTTAAAAAAAATTTAAATTTAAATTTTATAAATGTGTTAGTGGTAGTGTTAGTTGATCATGCGTAGTATTTTTGTTACGTAAAATAATAATTTTGTTTTTTTTTTTTCATAACTCACTTGCACGCATTTGTTTCTACCCCTATTTTATGGTTCTTTTGTTTTTGTAAAAGTTACACATGTAATTAACATGTTAATTATTCAGAGAGACGCTAAAAATTATTTTAAAAAATGAATAATAAAATAATTATAATTAAATTTTATTAAAGACTATAAAATTTAAATTTGAATTGAAATGTTTTTTTTTTTTTTGAAATTACAAAAAAAGCAAAAAAAAACTTCAATATTTACGCAGATTATGAATGACGTTTATCATTACTCATTACATATGTCATTTTTTGCAAAATTTTTTAAAATTTATAACAAGTAGTTACGAAAAATTGGCTAATTTTCTTTATTTAATAATGGAAATTAAATTTTGGAGTACTGCGTTCCATAAATATTTGGTAATATTGTGTAAATTGACTGCCAGAGTATGTGTGACTTCATATCTGGCATTTGCGACTGCATAATCTTTTCGGAACATATAATTTATGGTACAGATATTATATTGTAAAGATCATTCTGTTATAATTCTATTTTGCTCATTTAAAAAGAAATTAAGAAATTCAAGATAATTCATTCGAGAGAATTAAGAAATTCGAAAAATTCGAGAATATGGTCGAATAACAAATGTCTCATTATTAAAATAAATTGTTCTTCTATTCGATTTTCAAATTTTTTGTTCAATTCGAATGGATTTTATGTGTCATAAAATTAATTTTGAGTTTATGTAAAAAAAATAAAAATCCATTAATTATTGCTGTCTGCTTTTGAATTTATTCAATTTTTTTTCAATTTTTCGTTTCTTACAAATTTTGATAAATAAATTTTGAAAAAAATAAATTTTGGATATACTTTTCTAACTAAAATTAATACGTAAATTTGAGTTATAGCATATTAGTTTTACACGCATTTATTTTTAGAAAATTTCGATCTCATAAAAATATTTCAAAATCAGAATGTCTTGCATTTGTCAATCGGATCACATGTCTTATATTCATTTGATCATTAAGTTCTTCTTCTATTCCTAAGAATATGTTGACTAAAATTTCCTCTATGAGTTCGAGGTGCTGGTACTGGAATCTGTCTTTGATTATCTCTATTATTTGTATTTGACATATTAATAATTCCTGGTACACGATTATCATTGTAATTACGATTATTTATTTCATTTTGAGCGGATGCAACATTATTATTATTGTCATCATTATCGTTAACATTATTATTAGAATTATTACTATTATCATTATTTTGAAAATTCATTGGAAACATTCTTTGCCTTCTCTCTTCTATTAAATGTTCTCGATCTTTATGTATATAATCACGTATATTCGGAAGTTCTTTGACAACATTAACAGTTAATGCTGATCTTACCATACCCATATCGGTTGCTTCCAACCTATATATAATATGTATATAATTTTATCAATATTATTGTGTAAGAAATTCTATTATTATAATATAACAGATATACCATTCATCATGTTCAACGACATAACATTCTGCATGAGATATTGTAGCAACACCATTAAAACCACCAACAGCAATTATCATATCATCAATAATTTCTAAACCGAAATTACTACGTGGATGATACATTTCTTTAATTGGACTCCATCTTTGTGCAATTGGATCAAATTTTTCACCAGTATTCATTCGTGATAGACCATTAAAACCGCCCATTACATAAATGTAACCTTTATATGAGACACAAGAAACACCAGAACGTCTTGATATCATATTTGGTATTAGAAACCATTCATTTCTATTTGGATCATAATATTCAGCTGAATTCATACATTCTTGACCATTGAATCCGCCTTCAAATTATCAAATAAAATGGAAAATAATTTACATTTTAATATTAAACACTAGGTATGTACGTATATTTAATTTAACCTGTAATATAAATTTTTTCATTTAGTGTACAAGCACTTGCATCAGATCTTTGAATATTCATTGAAGCAATCATAGTCCATTGATTACTTCTATAATCATATTTTTCAGCTGAACTTTGTCTTGTTTGACCGTCAAAACCGCCCATAGCATAAATATAATCATTTAGTGTTGCAACACTTACATAACATCTTTTATTATGCATTGGTGAGATCTAATTTAAAATTTAACCAAAATTTTATGGAGAATTTTTTTATGTAAATTACAAAATGTAGAGATTAATGTACGTTGTTTAATGTAACAAAAACATTTTTTTATTTTTAGACTAACCTCTCTCCATGTCTTTTCAACAGCATCGAATACCCGGCATGTATTATAATATTCAACACCATCAAAACCACCTATACAATAAATTTTATGACCGATAACTGCTGTACCATGATATGCTCTAGGACTTGATGTATCTTCAGCTGATATTCTAATCCAACGATCAGCTCTTGTATCATATGTTTCAATACATTTTTGAGGTAAACCTTCACTCCAACCGCCAATTGCAAATAATACTTCATGCGGTAGTCTTGGTAAAGCTAATGCTGGAGTACTCATCTATAGTGTGTGTGATATTTAAATATACTTTCTACAAAATTTATTTTAAAAATAATTTATATTTAAAACTTACTTTATCATTTCTAGATGCAATCATATCTAAATCATATAAAAATGTTAATGTTTCAATTATAAGTGGTTTAGCTTCATCACAATTAACAACTAAATAATGATCTTTAACTTTTTCCATGAAAAACTGCAAAGAAACAAGCAAACAAATGTGTTACCAACATCGTAAAAAAATGTTGTAGAATTAGGACCTTCAGTTACTAATGAAATATTCGACAAAATAATGGAAAGGCTGCACAAATTAACGGGAGGTCAGCTTATTACTTATTACTGAAAACGGAAAATACAGAATTTTTGAACGTATGAAAAACTTAAAAGAAAAAAAATTAAGGTTAAATCAGGAGTCCTAGAAATTTGACTACTAATTTGCAGCATTTAAAGAAATTTTTGTAAGTATAATTTCATTTTTATTGTATTCAATGCTCATCTGTATATTTTTTAGTGACGTTTTCAATGAACAAGGAATTGGTTTTAAGCACACACATGAGCAGTAATTTTCATATCCTTGGGAAAATGTGAATATAGAAATGAGGAAATATAATATAAATATAATTGATCGTAATAACTATGTGATACGCGAACAAATTTTATGAAGAATTGTTGGCCCTTTCTGCCAAAATTTAAATGTGACTTTGATATAGAACTTGGTGGCATGAATATATCTAATAGCTTTAATAGTTTCTAGATTGTGATTGTATTTTATATATATACGCATGGGAACTACTCAAATTGAGGCTTTATTTAGATCAAAATTAATTAAACAAAATTGGAGTGAACGCTACTTTAACAAAACTATTTGTATATTTTAGGGTAGTCTTATTGAGTATTTGAATTTCTATTTCAATCTTATTTAGTATTTAAATTTCTATTTCAACACTTCAATTCAGTCAGCGTTAGAAACAAAATAGTAAATTAATAATACCGTATAATATGCATATTCGAGTAATATATACGATTATATTGTTAATTTATGAAAGAACGAAAAATATTTTTTAATCTTCTTCTTTGTTAATCTTCACTTTATGTAGAAACTATAAGTATATACAAACATATAATATATAAATAATTAGTCAACTTACTCTTGTATTCAATAATCCTAATCTTACTGCATGCATTAATTGTGGTACATATTTTGTTCGATTTTTTGAATCATATTCAATCCAACGTATACAACAATCCCAAACAGTTTCTTCACGTTGTGTATTAAGCATATCATCATTAATAATATCATAAAAATCATCTAATCCGATTTTATAAATTTCATTGCTTTTCCGATAAATTTCAATAAAATTTTTTAAAATATAATTACGTGCAATATTTGCTAAATCAAAACAAAATCTTGATCTATTTAAATAGAAAAGATAGAAAGAGAAAGAAAACAACAAGTGAAATTTATAATTATTAAGGAGGGATAATAATAAATTTATTCAGAGTTTTTATTTTTCCTTTATGTACGTGTATGCAAAAAATTTAAAGAAAAAATTTTAATTTCTTTTTAAATTGACGTCAAATTTTAAAAATAGAAAATTCATTTAACTCAAACTATTTAAAAAAATATTAATTAAACTTCATGTAATTAATTTCAGTAAATTTGCAATATGGATTATGATATTTGTAATGGGATCCCATTTAATATATACGGTAGTTAACACTAAACCATCAAACCTGTGGCAATAAAGTAAAATTGCCACTAATCAAATATTGTATAATTTTCAAGGAATTCCAGTATATAGCTACTCAGAATTGTGATCAATAATGTAAGGTCCCCTTTACATATCCAACAAAATCTAAAACTAAATCTGCGACAAAATAATGCTTGATACAGTTCCGACTCAGTTCCAACAAAAAAACTAATTATCGCCATTTTACTTTTAAAAAATCTGACAGTAAATTTGATTAGAATAGATTAAATTTTATAATTTTTCATCAGATAATGTTTAATGTTGAATAGTGTTTGAACATATAAGAATTTCATTAAACTCAAGAAATTCATAAACAGTACCTAAAATCGGCCCATATATAGAGTGAAAATATATAGAGAAAGTATGGATTTACGACTACCCTGATGTTTTCTAAAAAATTTGCTATAGTTCATTATTTTAACAATTAATTTATTTATTAATTTATTTTATAGATATTAAATTAAATGGAAAATGGACTGTAATTTCCTTATATACATACATATATGAGCAAAAATGTTATCTCGCCCCATTGTATAAAATTCTATTTGCTTGCATCTAATTTCGTTGATAATCTATAAGATGTTCATCGTATTATCAGTCTGAGGTTATTTGATAATAAACACGTTATTTAAAATAATTAACCCCAATAAAAATATTATTAACTTAAAATTATAAAATGAGATTTCATAATAATACCTACATACATTTGTACACATACATAATAATTATTTTTTCTACTAATTAAAATAATAAAAATGCATTTAGCAAAGATTAGAAAATTACTAACGTACATTTTCTTAGAATTGATCCCTTCTATATACAAATAATTTTCAAGTTCATTCATATAAGTGGCGGTAATTGTAATATGATCCTTAATGTTTTTTAATTAGTATTTAGATTGTTAATAAAATTATGTAATATATGTTTCCAATAATTGAGAACATTATGAAATTCAAATAACGAATGTGAATCATTCTACATAGCAATTTTTAACATTAATTGTAAAATAATAATATAAATACCAATAATTTTTCTGTTTTAAAAATTGAATTCCAAAGAAATGTAATTTTTAGAAATATTTCGATGAATAAGCAAATTGATTTTAAAGAAATTCATCTCCAGTCAAGGTTGATAACACAGGATAATTGAATTAGTATTAAAAGCCTACCGAAATTTGTAAAACTTTCTAATCTAACTTATTATATATTGAACATTAGTAACCAGTTGAATGGCGTAGATTTAAGTATATTCTAAGATTCGAATTAAAATGGTTGAAAATATAAAAACGGCATTCAGTAAATTTGTAGTCGTTTAGGCATGGTATATCCTTTGAAAAATTATTAATTTTCATTAATCATATGACTAATCGAGATACTCAAATGTAAATACACGATTTTACATGAAAACAGGCACCGAAAATCTGAAATTTCACTAAAAATTAGGTTTTAACCTACATTATATAATAAAAAAAAAAATTAATATTGAATCACGTACATAGAATGAAATTTTAAAAGAAAAGCATCGACACAGATTTCTTAAAATCTAGTTTCAAATAGTAAAATCAAATAAATTTCCAAAACAAAATTGAAAAAAAAAAATTAGGCCATAAAATAAAAAATAATAATAATTGCTAATCACATAAGATTGACGAAATTATTCAATCTGTTAAGTAAACAAGAGTTTCAATCTGTTAAGAGAAACAAGAGCAACCAAATTTTATATAATTAAATGACCCAATTATTTTGTTATAGAAAAAAAAAAACAAACAAAAATACACCAAATAAAATTCTTATTATTGAATTTACAACTTAAATAAATTAATTAATAATATTTGTGCATTCATTTCTAGAATTCTAGATTTTGTAAACATCAAAAAATTTGAATTTAGAATTTAAAATTGATAAGAAAAGATCTGATAAGAAAAAATACTATAACTTTCTATTAGAAGCTTTTAGAAATTTCATTTAATTCACGAATTTCAAGGCGATTAGGCGAGCTTTTTTTTTAAATTTTAAAATAATTTGAATTGTGATTTTTATAAAAAGGATTTTTTTTTTTTTTTTAAAAAGGATTAAATATTTATATTATAAATTTCTTTTTTAAATATTAATTAAAATATGGTTTTAAAAATAGCAATAATTGGTGCTGGTGTTAATGGTATTGCATGTGGTGTACAAATATCAGAATATTTTAAAGATAAAGCAGAAGTAACAATTTATGCTGAAAAATTTACACCACATACAACTGGTGATGGTGCTGCTGGTTTTTGGTGTCCATATCTATTAGGTTCAACAGATCATGAAAAAATTAGGCTAGTATATATAGTATTGGAAAATTCAAATTAATTTAAAAAATTTAAATTATTAAAATCTTATCTTTAATATTTTTTTTTTATGTAATATACAGGCAATGGTCAAAAGGAACTCATGATTTTTTAGAAAAATTATGGTTATCTGAAGATGCTGGTATTGCTGGTGTTTGTTTATTACCAACATTACGTGTTACAACATCATCTGATCCAGATATGAATGATTATTGGAAAAATAGTGTTTATGGTTGGAGAAAACTTAATTCAATTGAATTGAGTAGAATGACAGAGGATTCTGGTAAAAAACATACGTAAGTAATTTTATAATTATATTTACATATAATTTACTTATGTTTACTTAGGAATGGAATGCATTTTGCAACATATACTGTTGAACCAAGAAAATTATTACCATATTTAATGGATAAATTTCGTAAAAATAAAGGAAAATTTATAGAGAAACGTATTGAAAATTTTGATGATTTTGTAAAAAATTCAAATTATGATGTTTTTATCAATTGTACAGGTATGAAATGTGTTTTTTTTTTAAATTAAAATTAATAAAATAAGTGTTAAGAATTAGAAGTAGTACTCAGTATTAGACATGTAGGTGCATGTTAGAAAATATTACTTAAAAAATTTATAAGCTAAGATGCTCTTTTATCTGCAATAAATGTAAAATACTAGAAATAAATAACGTAAGGGTTTCAATCAGGTAAATAGTTAGGGTCCTGGACAAATTGGCCAAAGCGAATCGACGTGTACTAAATGCAAATGTTCTGTAATTTCAGAAAATTTTGTAAGTACAAAAGTAGCTCTGTTATAACTTGAAATATTAGTTTTCAGATTAAAAAAATTCAAATTCAAATTTGATAATTAAATTTTAATAAAAATTAAATTCAAATCACCATATTGTATAAAAGAAATTTAAAAATCAAAATTTAAAATTTATTTTTCGAAAATTTGCGAATTTATTTAATTTCGCGGCAAATTAAAATTTCCTGATAATTACCCAAAATTTTCGTATACATTATTAATTTATTAAAATCATAAATCCACTAATAAAATTGCATACATTTAGGCTAAACAAAAAAATATTCTATTTTTATTCCAATTCAATAGTTTTGTTTTCGTAATTAAAACTTAATTAAATAAAAAGATAAAGCGATTTTTTTTAATAAAAATATCCAAAATTAGGGGGAAAAATATTTTTTTGCCAAATTATTATTTAGATAATAAATGATTTATGATAATTAAATAAAATATATTGATTTTAATGAGTAAATAAAATGTGGGTAAAATTTTTGGTATTAATGAAATGAGATTGTGAAGAAGAAAACGTAAATGGAATCGATTTATTGTTAAAAGACCGAAGAATTTGTAAAAATTTATTCAAAAAAAAAAACGTAATTTAAATTTAGTGTAGTAGAAGCTAGAAGTAGCTTTAAATTTAATTCTGTGCTCTATTAAAATTTGAATTCTAATTGTATAATTTAGCACACAAAAATAAAAAACTTGCAGTAAGCAAAATATATTTTTTTGATTGCTTGTTAATTTCGAGACTCGAATTAGAGGTCATGTAGTTAAGAATTAATATTCGCAAAACAATTGAAACAAACAAGATTATGAGCTGCAGTTTTTAAGTAATAATGCTTTATTGAAATTAATTAAGACTTTAATTTTTAATTCTAACATATCAGTACCTACTCCGACCCGCAAAAATTAAAATAAAACCGGATTTCTTAGAATATATTTGCCATTATAATCTTATTATTTATGGTCTTTGGAAAAATAATTTTTTGAATTTATTAATAAAATTTTTACTAAAATTACATTCTATATTCTTGGGTTTAAATTCAAATCACCCAATTCTTATATTGTATACTCATAGCTATATATTATTAAGTAGTCAATTATTATTATGGTATCAGTTTTAATGATAAGAAAATTTTCAAACTAATTTACTTATAAACAAAATATATTTAATTCTGTATTTAATATTGTAAAATATTATATATTCGAATTCATAGTAAGAACATTTTAAGATTTATATTAAAAGAGATCAGGTGGTTGCACGCGGTCGATTTTTATATAATTATCGCTTACGAATTAAATACAAAAATTGTAAAAATATGGTTTTAAAAATTGCAATAATTGGTGCTGGTGTTAATGGTTTAAGTTGTGGTGTACAATTAGCTAAATATTATAAAAATTTAGCTGAAATAACAATAATATCAGAAGTATTTTCACCTCATACGACCGGTGATGGTTCAGCTGGTCTATGGGGTCCATATTTAATTGGTTCAACAAAATCTGAAAAAATTATGTAAGTCTATTTTAATTCAAAATCAATCATTGAGACCAAATCAATCAGTATAATTATGTAGAAAAATTATTTTCTTTTTTGCTGGCATAGTGAATGGTCTAAAATTACACATGATTTTTTTGAAGAATTATGGTTATCTGATGATTCTGGTATTGCTGGTATTTGTTTAATACCAGCAATACGTGTTTCATCATCAAATGATGATATAATGGAAGATTTTTGGAAAGATATCGTTTATGGTTGGAGACGATTAACAAAATATGAATTAGAAAAATTAAGTAATGAAACTGGAAATAAATTCGTGTAATGAGATGAGATTATTTTTTTTGTTTTTATTTTAAATGAATTTCAAATGAATTTTTGTTTTTTTTTTTTTGTTAGACAAGGAATGCAATTTATGACATTTACTGCTGAACCAATTAAATTATTACCATATTTAACAGAAATATTTAAAAAATTCAATGGAAAATTAATTGAAGGAAAAATTGAAAATTTTAATGATTTTGTTAAAAATTCTAATTATGATGTTATAATTAATTGTACTGGTAAGAAGAGTAAAAAATATTAATTTTAAGAATAATTATAAGGTAAACGATTTTTTAAAATATTAAAGGTATCGTGATTTTAAAATTAGTTTATAATGTAAGATGTTTTTAAATTAAGTGATTTTTAATTCATAAGAAGTAATTTAAGTAGACTTAAGTTGGGTTTTTGTGCATGCTATACTCAAAATTTCAATATTTTGAAATTATGGGGAAGTGGGAACCATTTTCGTTTAATTTAAGTCGAATTTGTTATACAAAATAACGTTGTTTCCCTCGAAAATATTTATTTTTTTGTATTAGAATCTTAAATTTAAATTCATATGAATTTTGAGATCTAATAATAATGTTAAGGAATAATAAAGGCCTTGAAATATGTATTTTTAGTAGCACATTTTGTTATTTTTGTTATCAAATTCAAATGATAAGAAAACAAAAATTTTTAATGTCTTCTAAATTCAGAAGTGTTAGGCAAAAATAAATATTAGAATATGTAAGGAAAGAGCATTAAAATTAAAGATTTTAATTTAAAAATCAAATCAATTAAGAAATTAGAGTTTGTAGCTGGAAATTAGTTATAAGTTAAGTACCATTTTTGTTTTTTTTTCGAACAAACTAGGGATTTTGAATTTTTAATAAGATCGCGGCTTTATACATTAAAAATTCTATTTTACTTATTCTGCGTTTAAAAAAGCGGATTTTGCCAAAAATCTGAATTTTGACAAAAATGTCACTTAGCTCCTTAATTTTTTTGCCATTTCCAATTTGTCACATTCATTTACGTAAGCAATTAAACTCTTAAATTCTTTCTTAAGTAAATGATTTTCAGATTTCTAAGCTTAAATTAATTGAATAATTTAAAGTAACAGTTTCAAATCATCGGGGCATGTGGTCTGTGGAGCATTAATTAAGAAATTGAATTTGCATTTAATTGTTAAAACGAAAATTTTAATTAAATACTCTGAATTTATAGGTAGTTCTTAAACAGGCAAAATTAATATTAAAAAAATAACTATTATAATTAAATTATAAAATATTTTAATAAAAATATTAACTAATTCTCAAATTATATTTTTTATTTTTAGGTCTTGGATCAAAAACTTTAATTGGTGATAAAAATGTTCATGCAATTCGTGGACAAGTAGCACGTGTACAAGCTCCATGGATGTATTATACATATTTAGATGAAGCTAGTAATGGAAATTATATTATACCAAAGTATACAAAAATCTTAAATCTTAAAATATTTTACAAAACAACTTAATTGAAATTTTCTAATAAACATTTTTTTAATAATTTTTTTTTTTTAGCACTGAATCTGTTGTTATTGGTGGTACACATCAAATGGAAGATTATAATACAATACCAGATGAAGGTGATAAAAAATTTATATTAAATGGATGTAAACAAATTGTACCAGCATTAGAAAATGCATCATTTTTATTTGATTGGGTTGGTTTAAGACCAGGTAGAACAGAAGTTCGTATTGAAAAAGTTATTACAGATGGTTAGTAGAATTTAGTTTTTAAATCATAGTTGGACCACGAATAATGAATATAATATTATAGGGTTTGATTGGAAATATTGAATCAATTTTCATTTACATAAATACATAATATACGTTATTCATGGTCCATTCTGATTTAATTCCTGTTTATATAATATTATTAATATTTTTCAATTTTATATTTTAGATGGTAAAATTATAATACATAATTATGGTCATGGTGGTAGCGGTGTTACAATATGTTGGGGTTGTGCAACAAATGTTCTTGAATTATTAAAACCAAAATCAAATCTTTAAATGGATTCAACACATATTATACATATATGGAATCTTTAAAATCATAACGATTCTAAGCTTAATATTTTCAAATTATTTTATATGTCTAATAATTGTGTTTATTCAATATCTATAAAATTTATAAAATTTTTAAATTAAATTTAATGTCTATATTTAAATATGTATTTGGTTGGGCACAATTAATTTTTAGATAAAAAAATATGTATTTAAATATTTAAATTTTTACCTTGCAAAACACCATATATTAATACAATTTTCTGGTTTTAAATTTTTTTTTAAAAAACGTACACATTGTTTTACTAGACCCATTATTCCAACATAATCAGCAATTGTTAAAATTTCATAAATATTATTTTCATTAATTGAACATTTTCTTAAATATGCATAATCAATAATTTTATTCATTATTTCGGAACGAATTTCTGGTATAAAAACATTTTTCTTTTCTTCAGTTAAAGATGTTGTAAATAGAGCTCTATTTTAACAATTAATAATATTATATTATTGTATATAGAATTATAGGTATAATATAATAGTTTATATTTAAATGTATATAGATAAAATTATTATAATTAATTCAATTTTTAATAAACAACATAAATGATTTCTATAAATTAAATGTTATAGATTTGAGCTAAAGGTACTAGATTTGGATTGAAATACAGGAATGTTTAGGGTCTTTCCAAGCTTTTTTTTTTTATTAAATAAATTAAATTTAAGTAAAATATGCTTTTGTACTGAATTTAATATCTAATTATATGATTTATTCTTAAAACAATTAAAAATTTAATTATATTTTTCTAATTCAAGTTCAACTTGGAATATTGTTTAAAATTTTAATTTTTCTAAAAGACGAAATACAAAAGTAATATTAATATTTACTTATTTTGTAACAAAATCCTTTAACCTTTAAAAAAATAAATTGTTAAAGGTCTATAGTTATACTTTTCACCTTTTGCTTGATATTAAAGCAAAACATTTTTTAAAAAAAAAAACAAATTTAATTTATAGGAAACCTCAAATGTATAAATAAAATAATTTCTATTTCCAAAAAATTTAATTGAATCGCAAAAAAAAATTTCTTAGGGTCCCATTGGGAATACTATTCTTGCGCTTGGCTTATGTTTTGAAAATAATTGTTTCCGATACTAAAATCATGTATTATAGTTAGTTGTATATACATATGTTATTTTGTTTTAAATGAAAAGTATATGAAAAATAAGAATTCATTTTAAATTTACTTAAAAAAAATTTAATTAAATATATATTTTACCTAAAATAATTACTACAAGAGCATAATACAACTCTATGAACATTAAATATACCATCATCTAGGGTTATTGTTGCATCACATAACATATTATCAGAACGCATTTCATATAATGTATTCATTGCTTGTTGACTCATACAAGTTTTAGGATCATGTTGTTCACATTCCTCTTCATCTTCAGGAAGCATATTATTCTTTACATAAACGGAATGCAATATAGAATAATATTAATGTTTCAAAAATTTCAAATGAATTTCTTAAATTAAAATTTTGTTTCAGATATACATAAATTATTAAAATTGTAAATAAAAATTCAATTTTTCAAATTTACCTTTAAATATAGTTACGTATTTGTTGTTTTTTCTTAAATTTTAGAAAGTATAAAGTAAAATTTCCCAAATAATATAAAATATTTGAATAATATTCCAAATAAAAACTTAATATTCCAATAAATTGCTTTAACAAAAATATATGTAAATAAAAAAATAGAAATTCCCGAATATAATATTGGATAATAATAACATGTATAAAAAAGACATTAAAAACAAATGTTTGACAAAATCAATTTAATAAAATTTTGTCATTTTAGTTTATAAGTAATTGATTTTTTTTTTGTTTTTAGTTACTAGAAGGTTAGAATATTTCTGCAGTTCATAAGATTAGAACTGAAAAGCTTTCAAACCTGTATGTACCTATATAAATTATGCAGAGCTTCTGAAGCTTTGTAGTTCTAACTCTCAGAACTGCATTTTCAGTACTACTCATATTTTGGTAAAAGTGATTTAAAATTTTATTTTGTATTTTAAAATTGCTACTAGTTATATGAAAATTGTAAATTATACACCGAATATCTGCTCAAAATTTACTCTTATTATGACAAAACTTTTCTCATTTCCGGAATCCGAACAAATACAAACCATTTATTGAGAGAATTGCAGAACAACAATATTGTAAAATTGAAAAATTTTTAAATTATTCAAAAATTAGGAACAAATATCTGGAAAAATTTCGAGTTTTTATTAAATATTTAGATTTTTTTAAATAAAACAATAATCTAATAATGATTTACATATATATTTTCCAAAATAAAAAATTAATTCAGTCGGCAAGATTTGCTAGCATAAAATACCATGTTTCACTAACCAACGAAATTAGGATTGCAAATTATACATTTTATTAAAGATTTATTTTAGTAAGAAAATAAAAATATAATAAAATTTGTGATTTGATTAGAGCAGTCTATCAATTTTTGTCACAATTTTAATGATTTAATAAAATATTATTACAATTTATAGTTCCCTAATGAAATTTCCCTCATAACTATTAAAACTCTGTAATTAATTGCTAATGTAACAGCCTTCCAATTTTAAATAGAAAGTCACACTAACAAAATTACACGATTTGAAGAAATTCAAAATTTACATTTTAATATTTCTTGTATTTATAAATTTAAAATGTTCTGAAAATGCAAAAGGAACAGAAAATTCTATTAATAATCTAAATTTTCATATTAAAACAATTATTTTAAAAATGAAAGAAAAAATACAATTAGAAAAAAACAAATAAAATAAATTTAAATTTTTTAATCATTATTAACGCTTGATAACAAATAATCAAGTAAAAAGTACATATAAGAAAGAAATTAAAAATTTTCACGAAAATTAAATAAAGGAAATTTATGCTGAAGGAAAAAATTTATCCTGTTAAAAATATTTTTTGAAATGTGCGCATGTTTCTCACCCCTTCCGGTATAATCACTATCCAATAAAATAATAACCAAGTTTTAATTAAAATACTTACAATGCACACTCTCTATACTTGTATAATATAAAAAAGATTTTTAAATTAAAAAAATCAACAGTTTTTAAGTTCATTTCAAAGGATCATCATCCATTCATTCATTCTTCCATTCTTATAAACTGGATTTAATTTAAAAAAGAAAAACAAAACTTTTAATTTTTTCAATTCCAAAAAAAATTCAATTATTTTTTTTTAAAATGTTGTGGCTGCGTTTAGGCAGTTTATTATCTTTAATAGTTATAATATTGGGTAATGATGTATGGCAAAGACCCGGATGCCATAAAGTTGGTAATACAAGAAAAATAACAATACCTGATTGTGTATCATTTACGATAACAACAAATGCTTGCCGTGGATTTTGTGAAAGTTATTCGGTACCATCATTACCATTTGTAGCATTAAATTCACTTAAATCAATTAAACCAATTATTTCAATTGGACAATGTTGTAATATGATGGAATCAGAGCAGGTAAAATAGAGATTAAGAATATAATTTATTTGAAATTAAAAAATAAAATTTATTTTAACATTTATTTTCTTTTTAAAAAAAAAAAACACAAAAAATTAAATTAGATTGAAAAACGTGTATATTGTGTTGATGGTGAAAGAACATTAACATTTAAATCAGCTGTAAGTTGTAGTTGTTATCATTGTAAGAAGAATTGATTTCATGAGATTTCAAGAGAATTAAGCATAAAATAGAAAGCATTTGTTTTTAAATTATGAGCTCTAACACAACATCTATTGTAAGAAGTTCTAAAACTTTCGTTTTTTTATCTTTCTAAGCCATACTTTTAAATAAGCAAAATTATTTGATTAAAAAAAAAAAAAGAGTTATAATCCGATTTATAGTATGTATATGAATATTATAAGAAAAAAAAAATTTCTTTATTGATGTATTTAGGTAAGAAATAAAAAAAAAACTGATAATTAAAACCAAATATGAAGTATTTAAATTAATTAATTTTTGTATTTGGAATCGAATTGTGTGTTGGATATTCGATCTAATTATTAATTAAATATCATTACTTCCGAGGGCATATACGAAGCACGAAGATACAACAGGATTAAAAAAAAAATGAAAAAAATATATAAATTTTTTATAAATATATATACGTTGTTTGTTTATTCGTATGTTGTACAAACAAAATATGAAAATAAGTTATTTTGATAAAAAAATCATTTTAATTCCAAAATATGTAAGTAGATAAAATAAGATTTTTTTCAGTCATATTTAATAATCGTAATAATTTTCTTTTTTAAAGTTTACTCTTCGGTGGGGGTACTCCTTGTTTTTCTAAACAATCTCTCATATCATCAAGGCATTTCGATAAATTAACAGCCATTTTATCTGAATCAGTTTCAGAGGCACTTTCCCATGATGAAATCGCAAAAACCATATCATTTTCACGAGGATTATAACAAATGCCATAACCATCTGATACTAATGGACCATAGCACATAAAAGATACATGTTTTGAAGGTACTTGACCTAAAAATAATTGAATAAAATAAAATACATACATGTATTGATTTGGATAAAATTTTGTTAAGAATATAATTCGTACTTGTAGATAAACGGAAATTAGCACTACGTTTAACTGCTTCAATATTAAAAAAGTCAGGAATCGGTAGGTTATGTTCTCTAGCCATTAATTTTAATCCAAGAAGATGTCTATCAACACCTTTACCAGCAAGAGCTTCATTTGTATAAGTTCGGTGTGCGTTAACAGCATTTCTAAGTAATTCACATTTTTTATCGTTACTAGCTGTACCATGTGAAAATTCTTTTGCAAAATCTATAGATTCATTTGAACAGGATCTGATAGTTTCAGTACGTCCATTTTTAAAAATTCGAAGATGAGCTGATTCATAATGTCCGCCGGGTACATTGTGCATTCTAAAAGGAAAAAAAAATGTATAAGTTGTTTGAAGTTCAAAATATTTAAAATTTTCCATACCGATAGAAAGCATATTGCATTGCCATTTGAATAAAGCTGTCAGGACTCAATTTGTATTGTTTCATGAAACCCTTTCCATATGTTTTGTAATGCAAAACTTTCAAATGAAGATCATTTGCTAATTTAGTAACATTTTGTTTAGCAATTTCAACATGTTTAAGTAATTCATTTGATGTTTGGAAGTTTAATCTCTCTGGTTTGAAAGAACTATCTGGAACACCACCTTTTTCATATTGTCCACTTTTCCTGCAAGTAAAATATGATTTAAACTAGATAATTTTTTGATATTCAAAATTTTTCTTACGCAAAATCTATTATGTTGTCAGACATTTGTGCGATAGCTACACCTTCAGCAGGTGAGTGCTCATAACAAAATCCACCAACACCATTTCTGTTTATGATAACCTATATAATTTTTTTTTAAATATTTACGTACATATATTAATTTTAACAAACATACTTGGATACATTTGTCAAACCATCTATTACCGGAGTTTTGGCTTGAACCGCCACCATGTATTAATTGTTTACTTAAAACTTCATAAACATTGTTATCACTAACTGGCACAAGATCATCTAAACATACAACAAATAATGCCGATTGAACTTTTTTCACCAGATCATGATTTCCTTTTATAGCTACTAATTTCTCATAAGCAGAAGCCCAATTATCACGATTCTAAAACACAATATGCATTTGATTTAAATATTTAAAGAAACAGTTTAAAGAAATTTACATCTGATGTTAAAACTCCGATAGGTACAGCATTTCCCAATTTTGCTGCTTCCTGCCAAGCTTGTGTCAATGCTTTTGCAAGATAATCACCATGTATAATTTCCCCATTGTTTGTATAAACAGGTAAATAGAAAAACTGAAAGAAAGAATGTTTGCTTAATATGGAAATCTAAATTTTAATTTTTCTTTTGAGTCTCATTAAACGCTTACGTGATTCTTAGCCATAACAATTATATGCTTCGAAGTTGCATGATGAAATTCTATTCCATCACAATTTTTTTGTGGTAAACGACATGTTCCGAAAATTCGATAGAATTGTGAGTTATCTAACTCAAATTTTCCCATTTTTACTACAGGTAGTTTCGAATCATCAATTTGTTTCTTATATTGTAAGTTTGCGTAAATTGCTTTTGCTACAATATTAATTATAATTAAATTCAATAAATATTTAACATTATTTAGTCAATATACCAGCAAATTGAAGCATATCATCATCAGTTTTAAAATTTTGTGGTGTAAATGTCATTCCTGGACTTGAAAAGACACAAACGGGATCTCGATATTCTAAATAAGCACATCTTAACCAACGTTCAGCCAGCCAATTTGATTCAGATCCAGCTGCATCTTCTAGTAATTTTTGAAGTTTTTTACCATCACCTCTTTGAAAATGTTTTATATGATTTTCTGTTTCATCTAATTCAGCTTTTGTTAAAAATGGTTGGGCAGTTTTAATAAATTTATTTAATGTATCTTCAAGAGATAAAGCTGGATATGTTAATAGTTTTTGTCCAGTTATATTTGCTGCTGAATTATTTAATACCACAGAACTTGAGTAAATAGAACGATATAGACTTTCACTTAAGGCTGGATTCTTAAACTTATATAAAAATAAAATTAAATTGAAATATAAGTAGGTAAGTATACAACTTTATTTATGAAGGTAATAAAGTTATGGTTGTATGTATTTGGAAAATTTTATCTAAACAAAATGTTGTGTCATTTTATTGAGATAAAAATTTTTTTGAAAATGTGATAAGACAATACTAGTTACCTTCATTAGAAATGTGTATTAGGATGTTTGTGAAATTTTAATTTAAGACTTACCAAAGAAAATAAAATTTTTCTTGTTAAAATTTGCATCTTTTCTTCTTCTAAATTACGCAAATTTCTGAAAAATAACAAAAACAAGAAGATTTCTATTAGACAGGTAGATATTCTGTTTTTAAACTTTAAACCTTCTTTATCATAGATTAAAAATAAGTAAACCTCATTAATTGAATTAGTAACTTAAACTAAATAGATGAGATACCTTTGATTCTGCATTTAAACGATGATTGATTTAATAAGAAATTATTTACTAAACAAAAGTAAATTATGTCCACGTTTCAAAGCCAAATGCAAATTTCAACTTTCACTTTTCAAAAATAACAAAAATTTATAATAAATCAGAATAGTTTGTGTTTTATTAATAGACAAAAACGTTGTGAATCGAGCTAAATAACATTCGCTTTTAATGTTATCAAAAGCTTTTTCTACAAAATATACGCTTGAAAAGAATAATAATAGTAGGTAATATCATATGAGTTGAAAATTTCTGTATATTATCCACTTATGATTGTGTGTACGTATCTACATACATTAATTCAATTTAGCATACTATTCCTGTTTTATAATTCACTATTAAGACTAGCGTAGCGATTTTTATAAACTAAATATACTTGTTCTACAATAGAAAGAGAACTAATTTTAATTATTTTTTTGAATCTAGTTGTAAGCTTAAAAATATTAAAACCTGTTGCTTCTATTTATTTATTATTCAACTAAAATGTCATAAGCATATTTTTACAATCAACGCATAAACAAACGCGAGTATGTAGAGGATTAATATACTTACCCACTATGAAATTAGATAACAAATTAATATTAATAAATAAATTTGTTCGTTTAAATAATTTTCTTCTTATTATAAGTAATTATTTCTTATAATAATTTTTCACTGAAAATGACCATTGACCCTTGCACTTAATTTTGGAAGAAAATTATTATTATAGCTACCTAGTTAATTAAAGAACATTTTGTCCTCTAAATTGGTTTTTATTGTTTATTTCGAAATTAGTTCGAATTCGAATTAATAAAAAAAATGACACATTACTATTAATTCACAATATTAAATTGATGATAACAAATAATTCACAATTGTTTTTTAAAAAAATATTTTTATGAGCTATGAAAATATGAATAAGAAATTTTATGACATAATGAGTGTGTTCGTTTCAACGAAAAACGTCAATTTTAAGTTTCAGGAACAAAAAGAGACTGATAAGCTAAATAAATATCGAGTACTTAGTTGCAGTTTTCTATAAAAAAATGTAAAGCCATCTACCGGAAAATAATATTTGTAATTACTCTTATCATATACAGCCTATCCACAGTCTGGTGTACTTGGGTGTAAAAAGGCAACAGGTGTAAACGTAAAAGGAACGCTATTAATTCCGTTTTTCAGTTTCAATTTTTTTCTTAAGCGAGCATCAAAAAAATTTTTATTAAATAAATAATCAAACAAGTAGGTTTAATATTTTTAGTTTCAATTGAAATTTTTAATGTCTAATATTATTACATATAAAATAATTTTTGTTTAGCTATTTTTTGAAGAAGATTCTTTGGCTTCTTTTTGAAGTTGGAAAAAATTTAATAAAATCATTTTTTTAAGTAATCGGTAAGGTTTTGATTGGATTCATGGCAAGTTGAAGATAACAGAAATTTATTGATAAAATCTCTAAAGAGATTTTAAAGAAAAATTGGAAATAAATTTATGAACGAACTCGCTTTATATTTAAAATGGATTGAGGTGCTTGGCAAAAATAATTATTGTTTAAGTTGGATTTACAGCTTTCTAATATTGAAGATGTATGCTATAAATTATTAGAATGTTAATTTTCGGGTTGGATTCAAATACAATGCAATGTAATACAGTCCAATTAAGTACAGTGCAAATATGACGTGATTACTAAGTATACATTTGCATATTATAACCTATGGAACAATAAAAAACATATGGACAACATAAAGCAATAAATTAACCTATAAAGGAAGATTTATTTTCAATAATTTGAGAGGTATAGAATGCCACTTTCTTTTCAGATAAGTCATTGGATCGATTCGTATAAATGCCACTTTCTTTTAAATTAAGTGATTAGATCACTATTCGCTCAATATTAATATCAAAATTTCAAATTAAATTTTAAAATGAAAACACAATTTTTTTAACATCCTTTGGCATTTTTATTTTAAAATATACACGTATAATTTTATAATAACATTATGTACATACACAATACATATATTATTACAATTGTTTTTAGTATAAATATATATTGTATATATCAATAATACAATTTATGAATAATTTTTGTTACAAAAAAAATTATTAAGAAGAAAAAACATAAAAGTTTTATTTAAAATATTTTTGTAATTTAATTTCTATTTAAAATATTTAATTATTTTTTGTTATAAATTTAAAATTTTCATTTATGTCTTATACAATTACATAATATTTAATTAATATTATTATAAAGAAGTCTTATTGAAAAAATTCATTAATTTTACAATATGCAATTTTAATTTTTGATTTTGAACGTTTTTCATAATTTTATAATTAAAAAAAAAAATGTGCTTTCTTTATATATTTTTTCATCAATTTCTTTATTTCAACTTTCAATAAAATTGCGTTTTGTAAACTATTTTTTATATATAACAATTTTATATAACTTTAATATTTTTATAATCTAATTTTCCATTTTTTGTTTTTTGTATTTTTTGATTTATTTTTTATTTAACATTTAATATATAATATAATAATATAATAATAATGTATATTTATATAAAATTTTTGGAATATAAAGTATAATAGTAAATTTTTTTTTTTTCATTTTCTTGGCAAAACAATTAATTAATACCATAATTCGTTATTTTTTTTTACATATATTATTTTTTTAAATTATCATTTTGGTCTAAAAATTTTAACACTTATATAATTTCTAAACAATTAAAATATTAAACAATATTATTATTGTTTAATATTTTTTATTATTCTAATGGTTTAAATTTTATGCGAGTCTATAATAATAATTTTACGTTTTGTTTTTTTTTTTTTAAACATTTATAGTGAATTAATTGAAAATACTTTATATGGAAAAATTTTGGATATTTTTTCAGATTTATTTTGTTATTTCTTTTTTATATATAAAAATTTTGATTTTTATGTAATTAAATTTGAAATGAATAATATAATTATTAATATTACAATTTCAAAATTTTATATTTGAGTGGTACCGTACCTATTTATTGTAAATATTTTGGCAGATTTTTGTTTTTTTTTTTTTGACAAAATTATGTTCTTACTTATATAAAATATTTTAGTAGCTACCATTAGGGTTTTTATGGCTTTAAGAAAAGCTTCAATTTCTTTACATTTTCTATATAATATTAAAAGATTAAAAATTTACAAATAATTCCAAAATATTATGTTAAATAAAATATATAATGTTACATTATATTGTATAATATTTATTGCAAATGACAAATTATTGGTTATATATAAGACATACGTAGGAGGATGCAGTACTTTCCTTTTTCTCCTGAAATCTAGATTTTGCTAATTTTACATAAATTTGGTAAGTGTAAATGAATTCAGTTAATTGATTTGAATATCAAAATTAAATTAAATTAAATTTATTTTAGGTATACAAACAACAGGTTGGCACAGTCTGACAACAGTATCAAACTTAATTGTGGATTGTGTATATTGTAAATTAATTTTTTTTTCTCTTCTTTGTATTAAGATAAGGAATCATTATTACAATTTAAAGTTAAATTGAAGGAGAAAATAATTTACAAATTAAGCTTCTAAGATTTATATTCCGCAGTCATTTAATTTTAAAGATGTCATTTTAAAAAATGATATGAGGTAATCATGTCTTATTTCACGGGTAAATGAGCATAATGTTCTTTTAATTCGAAATGCTTCAATATCCACATAGTAGAAATGTAGGCTTTAAGCAATTAGTTTTGTAGTTATTATAATTAAGAATTTTTGTTTATTTAAAGTAAATTTTTGACAGAGAGAACATAGATAAAATTATAAAAATAAAATCATATTTTTATTTTGATTTGGGACAGGAAATAAAAATGTGATAATCTTGCGGACGGTCCTTATTGCAAGATACGATGATTGTCTTATAACTCATACGTACCATGTTATACAGCTTGCAAACTTTGTTATTTGATATTAACTTTATACTATATGCAAAAATATGCTAATTAAATTGTAATAATGACTCTATTAAAATATGTATGTAATAGGATCAATAATATATTTTACTTCAGCTTTAGCTATACCATATTTTTAAATTGTTAAAAAAAATTTTTGTTACGAGTATACAAATTTTTAGTATATTTTTAGTATATTATTTTAAGTAATTCGACCTTATTTTTGACACATTATATGACACAAAGTTAGAAGAATTTTTATATTATTTAGTTTTATTTTATTTTCTTGTAAGTTTAGACTGTTGTTTTTTTTTTTTTTTTTTTAATTTTTTGATTATATACGGAAAATTAATGCGTGTATGTAAAATATTGTGCTTTTCGAATTTTGTGACTTATTAATTTTAGTACATATTGCAATAATATTGTCATTATGTCGTTTAATGTAACAAATTTTTACTTTTATTAATACGCAATTATATATTTCGTTTGTTTCCATAACTTTTTTGTGTGCATTATAATGTCTATATAGGATAAATTTGCAATTTTATTATTTATTCGTATTTCTCAATTTGTTCTTGTTTTTTTTTTTTTTTTGGGTAGTAGCTAGGTATAACAATAATAATTGTATTTTATTTATTATTTTTTTTTTGTGAGATCGTATATAAAATTGTTAATTATTTTTAAAAATATAAAATGTTTACGAATTTTTTGATATTATGTAATCTATATTTTATAAATTCATTTAATTTACAAATAATTTTAATTTGAATAATCGAAAATGAAATTTTTCCAGAACTAAATGAAAATCTAATTGTTTAATTTATTTTTTTTGAATAAAATTTCAAAATTAAAAAATTTAATTTTTAATTTTTTGCCTTGACTAATGTCTATAATGTGTTTAGAGTAAAGAAACATAGCAATTCTAATAAATAAAAAATTAATATTTTTAATTTGATAATAGCAAAATTGATTTGAAATTAAAATTTCTTGAGTAAAAATTTAAAAATAAAAATTTCTTATTATACAAAATAAAATTTTTTATGTACTTTATTATTTATTTAAAATGACATTATAATGTGGTATAGTAATTATTGTTATTTGTAATTAAATTTTAAAAATATTTTTATTTTATATATTTTTTTTTATAAAATCTACAAAAATTTTTTAATTAATATTTCAATAAATTTTTTCTGTGTTATTTTTCTTTTTTATGAATTTAATTTTTACTATGAATTTAAATTTCATTAATTGTTTTTCTTTATTTTTTTTAAATATCACAATATCACATTATACAAATTGACAATTAAAATAAAAAAAGAAAAAGAGTTAAATATATATATAAGAATAATAATAATTAGGTATTACATTTAAAAATTGATAAAATAATTTTAAAAATGTAATAATAAAATTTAAAATTTTCATAATATTTAAATATGTATGCATGTAATATAGTTATACATTCAAAGTTTTTGTGTTAAAGAATGCATAAAATGTTGAAATTTTATAATTTTTATTAATTTCTTCAGAGAATTTATTAATTTTTGTAAATATTATAATATACAATAATAATAATGATAATTTTGATTTATTATAAAAATTTTTTAACCAATAATTGGCTCGTATTTACTCTTTTTAATATTTGCTGCCAAATAACATGATATACAAGTTCCAAATAATGGAAAAAATGCTAAGGCTGATAAAATATTACCAATTGTTGACATATTTGAATTGAGGAAATACATTAATTTTGAAAGACAACCCTGAAAATTTAAAAAAAAAAAATATGAATAATGTATTAAGATATTTAATTTTAAAATTTCTAATATAAAATAAAAATTTATGATTTTAGTAATAATTAAGAATATTTTTGTTATGTTAGTATAAACTAAGAATTTATGCAATAAACTTCAGTGTAGCATTATTTTTATTGAATTAGAATAAAATGATTTCCATTCTTCGGAATAGAATTGCTTTGTGAATTGCTCAGCAGCATATTGTAGGAAATTTGAATAAGGGTTTTGTAATTTTAAATAAATTAATTAAATAATGTCCTTAATTTTATAATATTGCTATAAATAGATTGAAATTTCAATTGAAATATGCTTGTTAAAAGTTGAAATTTCATTTAAATTAAAGATTTTTCAAAAACCTATTTATTTATTTATAAAAGGAATAATTCTATGAAAAATAATTTTGAATATTAAGTAAATTTTATTGTAAAAATTTTACTATAAAATTTAAATTTTTATTTAAAACAAAATCAAGTATATAATCTCAATTTTTATATAAAATGATAAAAATACTCAATTTTATTATAATTATATTAGATTATATAAAAGAAATATACTTACTTCGGTATATAAAAATTTTCGATTACTTGGATCACAATTCTCCTTTGAAGCGATACAACATGATAAAGGAACATTCATATTAAAATTTTTATCTTTCCAATCTTTATAACTAATTACCCCACAGCATTGTAACTAAAACAAAAAAAAAAGAAGAAAAAAAATTTTTATTTTTCATTGTATTCAATTAAACAAAAAAGAAAAAAAGAAATCCTTTTGGATATTTTAACAATTATAGAATTTTCAATTTTATTTTTTTTATGAAAAAACTTACTTTTTGTTGAGCATTACTTAATAATTTTTCACTTTCTTTTGATAATCTATAATTTTCTATATCATATCTTAATCCTTCTTCAAAACCTTTACCTAAACGATCTTTGTATGAATACATTGATGCTGCCAATGCTAATTCAATGAATAATATTGCTACAAGAAGACCAGCATACTGTTAAAATTAAAAGAAATATTAAAAACAAAAAATAAATTAATCTATTATAGAATATTTATTTATGTATATTTATAATATAATTATGTGTATAATGTTATATATTAGATTTTTATAATATAGTTCATATAATTATAGAAGATAATTTAAGAACTTTGCTCTCCTATGGATGGGACAATCTAGGCAATTTAAAGTTAATGTGTACATACAATTGTATTTTTAGAGTTATGGAGCGAATTATAATTTCAATTCTAGATTTTAAGTTTTCCTTATCAAGGCACTAGCCAAATCATGGATTAAAAAATTTGCTAAGTGATTTGGTTTTAATTTAATTTAACTGAAATTATAATTATTTTAACGAATTAAGGCTAACAAAATTTTTTAGATTTTTTTTGTTTTGTACACGAATGAGTACCATATAGAATGTATATTTAATATATGAAGCGAACGAAAATAATTGAATTTTAATTTAGTAATTTCAGTTTTCAATATACAAAATTAATTAGGTCGAAAAGAAAATTATATATAAGATTATAAGAAATTATACGTAATTACAAATATATAATTATATATAACATTATAATATTACGTATATAATATAACGTAATATAGAAAATTCCACAATTTTTTCTATCTCAAAAAATAAAAAAAAATATGATTTGTTTTTACAGATGAACTATTTCCGAGACCAGTTTTATCTTACCATTGAATTCTATAAATTTAATATGATATTTTAAACCGTACAGGTACCTTTAAAAAGTACTTTAAACATACACACATTCAATGTAATCTGGGCAGATAGTTTATGTAATTAAATATATCAGTGGAAAAATAAAATATAAAATTGGGTATTTTATATAACTAATCTATTACATATATGTATATGTAAGAACCTATATCAGGTATATGTTCAAGATTTACAGGACAATGGGTTAGATAGAAAAATTGGAAGATAGAAAAATTGCCTATGGGCCGGAGTATTTCAGGATAATAAAGTCATTAAGTATTTTTCTTTGTTTTTGTTAATAAGAAGCGAAATTAAATTTACCGGCATTGAAATTAATAAAATTTTTGTTTTAGATAAAGAAGTTTATGTAATATTTTGGAAATGTTATTGGAGAGGATATTGTCAATTGTTAATGCATTCAAAAGCATTCATTCTTAATGAATAAAAATTTTATACTTAATGGATTTGGGAGCTGATTTTGAGCACCATCTCGATATCTTTACTGGAAAATATTTTTAGTGCCTGAGATTTTCCAGATTTGAAACATTGCTAATGCCTGATCTGTACATAATGTAACTAGAAGGTGAAATCTTGTTAAATTCTTATTTATTATATTATTTTTCATTTGTTTTTATAGTATACTGCTAATTAGTAAGCGACACACATGAACACATAAGGTATTCATTCTTGATGCAACTATCATATTATATATGATAGAGTCCAAAGAATAAATCATAATGATAAGTTATATGAGAGTTTTTCATTTTTTTTTTACTTTGATAAATTCTTTAAAAAAAATTTCCCTCTTATATGACCTTACATACATATAAAGTTATCTAAAAAATATAATATACATACTACAAATAGTTTTATTTACTTAAATCCATACATACATATATAAATTATTTATAAAAGGTGTTTGACCCAATTTTATCATCTTTATTTTATTTTTTTTTAATATTGAGATAAACTGAAAAAATTTTTTTTTTATTTTTTTAGGTATCTACCAAGGTAATGTAAGAAGTAAGATTTTATACAATAAAAAAAAGGAGACTTATAAAAGATAAAGGGCAGCTGTAAGAGAGGAAGGAAGGAAGGAAATGGTAAAAATCATATCCTATTACTTTTATTTTATGTATTTTTCTTTATTATATATTTATTTATATAATTTTATTTCTATGTATAAAAAGTACACATAAAATTTCTCAAGAGTTGTTATAGGAATATAAGAATAGAAAAACCCATCTACTTATCTACCTACCTATGTACATGTTATATATATGTAAGTAAATAATCTTAAGTGAGAATTAATTTTTTTTTACAAAATATTTTTAGAGAGAAAAATAATTTTTGTTTTCTATTTTTTATTGGATCATCTTTCTGTTTAAATGGTCGATTTAATTAAAACGTAAATGTAATATAGGTACACACTTATTATAAGAGTGTTAAATCACTCTTATAATAAGTATAACTTTAAAATTGGAAAAATTATATGAGAAATTAGTTTGTATTTGAGAAGGAAATGTAGAGAAGAAGATGAAGAATTAATTTTCAGAAAATTGAAATTAGATACCTGAAGGGAAGTGAAGTCTGACTGTTTATAATCTTCGAATTATAATAATACTTTAAATTATCCTCTTATCTCTAAACTCTGTGAGCACAACATTAAAGATAAAGAGAATACAAAACAGTTTATGTTTATACTCAGAAGTAGAACACGAAAATAAAATTTATAAGAGTTGAAGAGCTTGTGAGTTAAAATTTTGTGAGTTTTACTGTCGGGAGTAAATTTAATAATAGACGGTGACAATGAATAAACTATAATAACAATATAAAAATATATTAATTTCTTAAGAAACAATATTCAAATATTAAGTAAAATAAAAAAAAAAAATATATATTCTTACCATTAATAATAATGGAGGATTTCCTTTAACAATACATGTACATGCTAATGTTGCTGTTAATAATATTAATATTCCTGTTATAACAAGTATATATGGTACTAGTCTTGAATATGCTATACTAATTTTAAAAAATTGTTGTAAATCTGTTTGCATCCATATTCCAATCCATATTATTGATAAACCAGAAAACTGAAAAAAAAAATTAAAATTAAATTATAACATTAAAAATTAATACTAATTAATAATCAATATTAATAAAATATTAATATAAATTAAATTAAATAATATATATTATTGAAATTTATATATCATTGCTTGTTATACTAGAGTTGTCGCATATAAGAAGTGTCATACTCTCATTATATGGCATGCAAATAAATGCTCAAAATTTCGAATCTGCTACAAATGTGTGGAGAGAGCGAAATATTTTTGTTGAGTTTTTGTTGACCAATAATTGTTATACAATATTAATGTATATACAAAAGGTATATAACAATTAAATATAAATTGTGCTAATACCCAATATTTGAAATTTACTTTATGTTGAATTTAAATTATTAAATTAAAATTACAACGACTATTTTTATAGGACCTCATGAATTCATTCTAAGGAAACTATTTTATAGTTATACAATATTCGCAGACAAATTAATACATTTATAGATAGCATTTTATTTAAATCAAAATTCTTTTTTTTTTTTTAATTTTACCAATATTTATGCTCAGAATTTTCTCTCTTTTTTTTTATTCAAATGCATAATAATCTATTTATCTAAATACTCAAGGAAAAATAAAACAAAAACAAACAAGGAAAAAGAAATTAAATGAAAATCAAAAACTGTTATAATTTGTCCTAGTTTCTAAAGTGATTCTATATATATAAAAGAAGATTCATCATTGATTTTAAATCGATTCAAATAATAAATAATTATAATTATAATTTTTAAAGTATCATTGAATAAAGAAAAAGTTATTTATTTGTAATTTTTGAGAGAAATTTTCTGTTATATAAAATCTATTTCGCATTTGAGTAAATGTGTGTTTGTATAATAATTTAAATTAAATTCATACATATAAAATATTTAATTGTTATATAGGCTTTCATTTGTTTAAATTTATATTTATATAATAGATATTTTATGTAATAGAACCACATAATATACATACATTTATGTGTTTATGTATATTGTTATATGTATAATATATTCTCATTATTTTGTTCTTGACCTACAACAAATTTCATCTTATTATCTTAAATTTAAAATTTTTTTTTTAATATTCTATTCTAATAACAAATTTTACTAGAATAACTGTAATAACTATATACATATGTATATGTAGATATATATATATATATGATAATACTTGGATTGTTATACATATTATTATATACCATCAATTCTAAAACTTAGAATTCTATTTTTATACACCGAACTAAAAATTTCTTTAAATAAAAGTTTGAATCTGATTAAATATTTTGTAATCTGTCAGCTTTAATTTGGAAAAACGGATACGATATGGCTTAGACTGTCATTATAAAAACTTTTCGAATTTGAAATGTCAAAATATTTTTGGATCACTTGAAATGCTATCAGTTGTGCATGCTTTTAGCTCAGATTTAAAAAATAAATAATTTTTTTTCTAATTGCTCTAAAGTAAAAAAACGAAATCGACGATAATAAAATTTCATTTACTCGGATAGCTAGTCAATGCCAAAAACGAAAAAATGTTGCTTAATAATGTCAAAATCAAATTCGAAATAAGAAAATCCTGAAATTAAGAAATAAAGTTGAAAATTTGAGATTTTAAAGTGAATAAAAGTAGAAAGGTTGGGTTCTACTAGGCGACTTTATATAATTATTTTTATTTGATTTCGTAGGGAAATTAAAGTAATAGAAAATTCGTATAATGACAATTTCTCGTATATTATACAGTTCCTTCTAAATTAATAAAAAAATAATAATTTTTTTTCCAAATTTTACAAAATATTTATTATAACTAAATTATTTCAATTAATTTCAAGGAAATTTTCTCTGCATTTATTATAAGATGACATTATTGTACATGACATTGCAAAATAAGATGACATTTTATATTATGTAGGTTATCGATTTTAATATTTTCGAGGTTGTTTATTAATTAAAATTTTTGATTAAAGAGAAGAAATTTATCAAAACTGTGTACAATTCAAAGCATAATTATATTAAATAAATTATTACAATGTAAAAAGAAAATAAAATTGATTATTGGTATTTTTAAAATAAACTCAGACAATGGAAAAAGTATAATTGTTTAAAAAAATAAAATCTTACGAGAAATGCTCAATAAAAGGATCAAAAGTTCATGAATAATAAATTTAAATAATTTTAATTAAATTTTATTTTCTATATAAGAATGAAAATATTATAGAAGAATCTAAAATTTAATAATATGTGAGTTATATTTTATGAAATATTTTGAGTGTAAAAAAATTACTCATACAAGAATTTGCGATTGAGAATTTTCGGTTATGCACTCATACGAAGAGAGCAAGTTTGAGAATCTCTTTCTAATTCCATTTTGTTTTTTTTGTGCTATTTAGAAAAGATAAGGAATTCTTTATGTCTGGTTATGTGTTATACAATTTATATAACACATAAATGTATTTGTATATATAATTCATATTCACATTATTATATGTAAATATTTGTGTTTATTATTATAATGAAAAAAAAAAATTTAATATTGTACAAATAATAATATTTAGTTTTCGGAAATCCCTATAGAATGCGGTATAGTACCAATGTTATTGAAATTTTTAGTCTTAATATTATAAAAGATTTTGATTATTAATATAGAATAAGAAAGAGATAAGAAAGTTTTATTAATAAAATAAACTTAAAATATTTTTTTTTTTGTTTTGTTCTGGATTTAATTTAATATACTGTTATTATTTTAATTATATATATATATATGTATAGTGTTATACACAACTTTGTATATGCATGATTGACTTATGGTTGATTAAATAAATTTTTTACTTGTCATCGAAGGTATTATATGAAGAATAGAAAATTTATTTCGATTTAGAAATTGAACCCTTATCAAATGGGGGTATGTTCATAAGAATTCGTATACATATATTATACATATATATATTGTTTTGTTATACATCTAGTTTATAGACCCCCGAGGCGTATGTTCTCTTTTGTGATTTCCTTTTTTTGGTTTTTGTTTTAACAAAATTGATAAATTAATTTGGGATTTTTATACTACTTTTATATTTTTATAATATTTGTTATACATATAAACATATTTAAAATATTGTTTACAAATTTATTGTATATGCATATGTATGTTATGTGTTATACTCGCACATACATGTATTATTTTGATTATTGAACAATTTTTCATTGTAAATTATTTTTTCTTATTCAATTATTTTTGTATAAATGTAATTTGTATAATAATTTTTTCCAATTTATTATATTGTGCCTGTCGGGTATACAATATAATATATGCATAGAAAGGAAAATACACAATATTACTCAATAATAATTAATTTATATGTATGTAAATAACTTGTATACATAATGTGCTGATTATATACATTCATATATAACTATATATGTATAATAATTTATTTATGTTTCAATAAATTATTATAAAGGAATATTGTATAAAATAGTAAATAGTTGGCATTACTCTGTATTGTAATTAAAAACATATGCAAAATTGACGATGCATAACGTTCCGTATTGTATTATAACAAAATTTCCGTATAACATGCGTTTTTGAAATACGCAGTGAAAACCAAATTTTGCTTTCAAATGAAACTCGAGTTGTTTTTTGTAAAAGTTTTTTGGGAAATGACGTCGTACTAATATATAAATGCCTTAGTTAAGAATTAAATTGACATAACGGTTAAATTGACATAAATTTGACATAAATTTGGTAATTCATGGTTGAAAAAGAAATCTCAAATTCAGTATTTCTAAGTTTCACTCATGGTTGAAAGAGAAATTTGCAGTGCTTACAGTAAATAATTAGTTTTGGACAATGCAGTAATCACAGCACTTGTATTTGGTTTTGAATTTAAATGAGCAGTTTAAAGACAATTTCAAAATTTAATTTTTGACAATATGGAATACTCACAACGTATAATGTATGTATATACATACATCTATAATGTAGATTTAATACGTATATCGTAATATGCAATTTATTAATTGTAAAACATTATGGGCTATAATTTTTATGCTTTATTTCAATTAATCATAAAATATATCGTATATACATAGTTGAGTATGTATAATGATAATGGAGAGTATAATGGAGAGTAAATACATGCAATGTAGAGTAAATCTTATCAGGCGTAAAATAAAAAAGAAATTGTAAATATAATTAATAAATTTTAATAATTAATAGAATTTCTTTATATGAATAAATGACCATTAACAGTGGAAATTATTTAATTTTTTTTTTTACAATAACAAGTAAAACTTATATCATAAATTTATGCTTTACATATGCAAGTATATGTACATAAGTAAATTGAATTTGTTATATTGTGCCTGCCTGTAAATATAACGAGTATTCAATAACATTATGTTCTATTTTCATTTTTAAGAAATATTGAAGTTTACGTTCTCTAAGTAGATTGTAGATTGCACAGATAGGACGACAGATACATATATAGTATATGTCCGTACAACAGTCGCTGTAGACCCAATCCCCTGATGAATTCGAGTAATTTGATAGATACGGTAGACCGCGCACCTCCGCTTCAGTTAATACACTGAAGCCACCTCATCCTGTCAACAAAATATGCAAGTGCTTTCACAAGACATATAAACTAGAAATCAGGGTTATCTGGAAATTTTAAATTTACTTCATTTACTATAAAAATTCTTTATTACCGTATATATTTTTAAATATTTGATTTGGTTTCAAATCATGATCCTATATACACATAAAATAAAAAATTTATTTATTTTTAAATTTTATGAATTTCACGTTATTATGGTAGAAAATTTATCCTTTTCGTATAAATTATGATTTATTATTAAAAATTATATCAAAGTACAATAACATTTTCGAAAAAAAAAAAAAAAAAACTATTTCACACGTATAACGAATTAATATTCTCATATATCGTATACATAACAGCCTTTAATACGTTCTTATTTACGTCCTTATAGATAGTAAGT